GTGACATTGTGATCTACAGACTTCACGTTTGAGAACACTGAAGTTACAGAAATAGTCATAAAGGAACTTCCTAATGCTTTAAGCACATACGTGCCTTTGCGATGGACTGTATTCAGACCTGTCCTGGCCCCACCGGACTCGAAGGCTGGGACTGGACCCTCTGGGTTCCATCCTGGGTTATAGATTCCTGTGCTCTTGACCCTGGAGTGACTGTGAAAACTAAGATCCTAAACACAATGGTGGTGAAACAATTCACGGAGGAGACAGCACTTCAAAGTGTGTAGAGAGCCAAGCCGAGATCCTCACACAGTTCCCAGCACACCCCATGATTCAGATACTATAAAACCAGGCAAGTAAGGGTCACTCTACAGAATTGGTCCTTCATCGTCCTTAATACTCCAGCCTCAGAAGATCATGAGGTCAAAATGAATTTCACAATAACCCAAGGTCTGCTAATGGGCAATGCTTGTCATTGCTATCTTCCATGAAATAAAGGTCCATTCTCAAGATGTTTCAATTTCAGTCTCAATATAAAAAACATGAATATTTATAATCCAAAGTTTATGCATTTAACAAAGGTTTAAATTTTAACAAAGTAGTAAGAATTGTGGGTTTTAGCCAGGCACATCTTTAATCCCAGCACTTGGGAGGCAGAGGCAGGCAGATCTCTGTGAGTTCAAGGCCAGCCTGGTCTACAGAGTGAGTTTCAGGACAGCCAGGACTACACAGAAAAACCTGTCTCAAAAAAAACAAAACAACAACAACAAAAAACCCAGGGCCTACCACTGAGCTAAATCCCCAACCCTTTTTTTTTTTTTTTTTTTTTTTGTTTTTAAAGACAGGGTTTCTCTGTGGTGTTTTGGTGCCTGTCCTTGAACGCTCTCTGTAGACCAGGCTGGCCTTGAACTCACAGAGATCGGCCTGCCTCTGCTTCCTGGTGAAAATAATCTTATGGTTGGGGGGTCATAACAACACGAGGAACTATATTCAAGGGTCACAGCATTGGGAAGGTTGAGAACCAGCTCTTAAGAGTCTAAAACTCCAATGCTGTGGATTAGGGCCCCCTCAGCCTTAACTGCCTCCTGAAAGTCCTACTTCCCAAGAACTGCTGCCTGGGAGTGTTTGGGGGATGAGGACACAACGCACGAGTCTGATGACTGGACACACATTCGACCCACAGAAGCAGGAATGCCCACCATTTTACAGGCAGGAACCTGAAGGCTGGTCACACAGCTGAGCTACAGGTCTCAGAGAAGAGCCACATCCAGCTGGCTAAGCTGTGAAGCTGCCTCCCCTCTCCAGCCCTGACCACCTTTCTCGTGTTGGCCTCTGAATCCCTGCTGGGTCCCACTCCGGAAAGGACAAACACGTCAGGAGCAGGACCCGGTGACGCACAAACAGTACACCGGACAGCAGCTCCTCTGTGAACTCAGCATCCGTCTCAGTTAGGGTTACCATTGCTATGACCAAAGCAAAAGAGTTCATTTCAGCTTATACTTCCAGGTAACAGTTCATCACTGAGGGAAGTCAGGGCGGGATCCTGGAGGCAGGAGCTGAGGCAGGAATGCTGCTTACTGGCTTGCTCCTCATAAGGCTTGTTCAGTCTGCTTTCTTATGGAACCCAGGACCACCAGCCCAGGGATGGCTCCACCCACCATGGGCTGGGCCCTCCCCCATCAGTCACTAATTAAGAAAATGCCTTACAGCTGGATCTTATGGAGGCGTTTTCTCAGCTGAGGTTCCTTATGCTCAGATGACTCCAGCGTATGTCAGGTGGACATAAAACTAGACAGAACGACTAGACCCTTGTCAGCTCGACACACAAGCACTGTGAAGCCTCAATCTTCCCCTTGTCCCTTTCTCGTTCATCCCCAAGATGAGCCGCTAACATCAACATCCCAACATAAAACATTTTTACAAACTTAAAAAAAATCACAGTCTTTACAAATTGAAACATGTTAAAAAATTCAGTCATTTTTAAAATCCATCACCTCTTTTAAAAGCTAAAAAAATCTCTTTAAAAATTCAGCCTCCCAATTGTGGGCTCCTGTAAAATAAAAAATAAATTACGTTCTCGTTTCAAGAAGGAAGAACCAGGGCACAGTCACAATCTTATCAAAGAAAAACCCAACTCCAAAAGCGTAAAAAACTCAATGTTCAATGTCAGGGATTCATTCAAGATCTTCTGGGCTCCTCCAAAGGGCTTGGGTCACTTCTCCAGCTCCGCCCTCTGCAGCACACACAGATTGTCTCAAAGGCTCCAGCTGACTCCACCAATGCTGTTCTCGGTGGTCACCCCATGGTCATGGCATCTCCAAAATGCTGGTGTCCTCTGCTGCAACTGGGCTGTACTTTGACCAATAGCCTCTCCTCAGTTCTCTTCAGGGACACCAACCCTGCCACACAGTGCCAAGCCTCAGCTGCTCTCCATGACCCTTCACACCTTCAAAACCAGGACCACCTGGGTGACTCTTACACTACCAAGTTCAGCTGCAGCGCAAGGTACAACCTTGGCCAACACAGTTAAGCTATAGATCTCAGAGAAGAGCCACATCCAGCTGGCTAAGCTGTAGAGAACGCAGCTTCTGTGTGTGGACTCTCAGGAAATATTCCAGAAGATTTCACCTGAGTGATGCTGGCCTCTTCTTAGTCACTGCTGATTCTTCAGCCCCAGCTGACCAAACACTATAGATTATTCACACAAATGGTCTGGTAGTCTTTGCTTCCCTCTGAAACTTCACGAGCCAGGTCTCCATAGTCTGCACCGCTCTCAACCTTCTTCTTATTTTTCCAAGCTCCTACAAATCAGCCCATTGAACTCTCAACAGTCAATGCCTTTCTTGCCCCAAGTCCTTCCACAGTCCTCCCCAAGACAACTGGTCATGTCTGTCACAGCAACACCCCAGTGGCCTGGTACAAACCTGTCATAGCTAGGGCTCCCTCTTTGCCAATGACTCCAGCTTGTGTCAAGTGGACATAAGACCAGCCAGGACCAAGGAGGGTCAAGATCATGATGGGGAAATCTACAGAGACAACTGAACCAAGCTCATAGGAACTCACGAACTTTAGACCGACAGCTGTGGAACCTGCATGGGACCACACTAGGCCCTCTGCATGTGGGAGACAGTTGTGTGGCTGGGTCTGTTTGAGGGGCCCCAGGCAGTGGGATCAGGATCTATCCCTGGTGCATGAGCTGACTTTTTGGAACCCATTACCTATGGTGGGACACCTTGCTCACCCTTGATGCAAGGGGGAGGGGCTTGGACCTGCCTCAACTAAATGTACCAGGCTTTGCTGACTCCCCATGGGAAGAGGGGATAGGGGGTGAGTGGAGGGGGGGGGGAATGGGAGGAACGAGGAGAGGAATGAGAGAGGGATCTGTGGTTGGTATGTAAAATGAATAAAAAAATTTCTTAAGAAAAAAAGACAGGCAGGACAGCACCCACGGTTGAGAGGGCAGAGGGCAGCAGAAGCAGACATGTGGAACGGAAGTTCTCAGGGGCTGAGACACTTGCTGACTAGTTACTGACAACGTCACCAGAGCATTCCCTTCCCTAGGGTTTGAAGTCAGGTGGAGGGCAGACAGTTCATGAGCAAACAGATTTCGTTGTTGACTGACGCCAGAGCAGCAACGTCTTGTGGAAAACCAAGTGGAACCAGGTGGAACTGAAGCCTGACGGGGGGGGAGTACCCAGCAATAAAATCCAAACAGCGGAGCAGGACTACAGTCACTTCAGTAGTTCATCATCCTCAGTGGACTGTGTGGGTACTCTGACCTGAGTGGCAAGACGAGAAACCGAGGAACACACACACACACACACACACACACACACACACACACACACACACTTGAATGGATGATTTCAAAACAGAAAAGAAAAACGTTTTTTTATTAAATCTTACTGAATTTCTTCTTTAACAACAAATTAAAAACCAGAACCTGCAGCCAGGTGGTGGTGGCCCACACCTTTAGTCCCAGCACTTGGGAGGTAGAGGCAGGCAGATCTCTGTGAGTTTAAGGCCAGCCTGGTCTACAGAACTAGAAAAACAAAAACAAACAAACAACCCCCCCCAAAAAAAAAAAAAACCCCGAAGGTGGCAAAGTCAAACTGAGTTCCTAAAACACCAGCACATTTTGTTCGGGGTAAGCCTGCGCTGTCCTAAGGAGTTGCAGCTCATAGTCAAGTTCCTAACTGAGCCGGCACACTTACTAGCTGTTAAAGGGAGATGTCGGTGCCTTGGACTTCATTACGTGGACATTTACAGCCAACAGGGAGCTCCGAGCCTCTCAGGAAACTCCATCTAAAGGAAACAAAGACCCATGAATGAGCGCACGTCCGCATGCAGAAAGGTGTCGGGGGTGTCCTCCCACAGCAGACAGACCTTTGGCTGTCCCTTCCCCTGAAACGTGAGCATCGTTGATATTCCTGCCGCCAACCCTTGGCCCCTCCCACTGGCTCAAACATCCCATTTTTCCTTTGCAGGCTTTCTGAGCGCCAAGGTCTGTCCTCGGGATTGAGAGGTCTAGGAAGTGTGAGCCCGCTGTGGCTCCCCCTGTTCTACTTTCTTTCTCAATTCCATCTTCTTACAGGAAAAGATGGGGGTTCCACAAGCTAGTCTTTGGGTATTGCTCCAAACTGCACGGGACATGGAGAGGAATCAGGTAAAATTTAAAGGACACCAGAGGTGCACTGTGTGGTCGCTTATGCTCTGGGAAGTCTCCCAAAGAGCGAAGGAGATGGGACGGAACACGTCGCAGAAACATCCTGACATGGTGTGCTGGTTGGCTTGACTTGTTTCGGTGAGGAGCTGTCTGCACTGGGTTGGCCTGTGGACATGCCTGCGCAGTTGTCTAAAGTTAACTGATGTGGGAAGACTCTGCCCACTGTGGGCAGCACCGTCCCCTAGGCTATATCAGAGTGGGGAACCTGAGCAGCACAAAGCAGACAGACGTACGCATTCATTTCTCTCTGCTCCAGACCGTGTATGTCTGTTTTTAGGTCCTGCTGCCTTGACTTCCCCACATGAGAACCTGGAAATATGAGCCAAAGTTAACCCCTTCCTCCCCCATGTAGCTTTTGGCATGGTATTTTGCTGTGGGATGGTCTGTATGTCAAATTGCTCTGATTGGTCAATAAATAAAACACTGATTGGCCAGTGACCAAGCAGGAAGTAGGTAGGACAAGGAGAGAGGAGAATTTTGGGAAGTAGAAGGCAGAGGGAGACACTGCCAGCCGCCGCCAGGACAAGCAGCATGTGAAGACGCCGGTAAGCCACCAGCCATGTGGCAAGGTATAGATTTATGGAAATGGATTAATTTAAGCTATAAGAACAGTTAGCAAGAAGCCTGCCATGGCCGTACAGTTTGTAAGCAATATAAGTCTCTGTGTTTACTTGGTTCGGTCTGAGCGGCTGTGGGACTGGTGGGTGACAAAGATTTGTCCTGACTGTGGGCAAGGCAGGAAAACTCTAGCTACAATATTTTACCACATCAACAGAAATCAAACTAGGAAACATGATGACAGAGAAAAAGAATATTAGGAAAAGGCAAATGCCAGGCAAAGAAAAAAGAATGCCAGACAACCTACATGGAGTTCATAGGCCAGTCAGGGCCACCTAGGGTAAACCCTGTGTCCATACATGCATGCATGCATACATACATACATACATACATACATACATACATACATACAGTATAGAACTGTACACAGGGTAACTGCTAGTGGCTGTGCTTGAAGCTGGTTTGCATGATGGTGTGCTGATACACTGGGAAACCTTCAGAGGAGGGGCCTGGGGGTACCCCTTGGATCATGGGGCAGGTGTTTCCTGGGAAACTCTGGCTAGCCATCCTCTGAGGATGGTTAGAAAAACCTGTGCCACCTTTACTTCCTGTTCTGAGATATGGCCTTGCACTCCTGCATCTGCCATGGGTCCCCCACCAAAGCCTGCACATTGCTTATTGGGCTTACAGCTTCTAAAACTCTTTGTAAAGGTGTCCTGCCTCAAGTATTTCATTACAGTAACGAAAAGTGGACTAATACAATGATTAAGACAAAACAAGGGCCTTATGATATTACAAAGCGAGAGAAAACAATAGACACACTAGCTGTTCCTGGAAACTGAGTGGCTTTGCCGCAATGATTATTCATCAGAGAAAGGTTGGTAAACAATGAAGACCAAGACCCTCCAGCCCAAGGAGCACTGGTGTCCCTGGGTCAAGAACCAAGCAGACACCACTGACAGTCCCTACGAGGACACGGGTAAGAAAAGCTTCTGGAGCTACAGTGTGCTCTGACTTCTTGGGTCATACACATGTCATCCATAGGAAAACTTATGAGGAAAAATGCCAAGTTAAAACCCAATGAAACCACTGAACTTCAAAATAAAGAACACTTCAGGTGGAGAGCAATCCCACCACATGGCATCAACCTTCTTCAGCAACATTCCAGTTTTCCTAAAGATCATGAAGAGGTAACAGAAGCTGCCAATTTAAGTAACCTAAAGCTCCTCTACAAACAAAACATTTTTAATCTAAAGGAAAGCCTGGTCCAAGGGTATCATTTCCAAACAACTGTCTGTTAGATTATGGAGCAACCAACCTACACACTCACATGTGAAGAATTCCTGGATGACAACGTCCATGAGGCCAAACTACAGCAAACTGACACCGAATTAAAAGACATTTGGGAGAGGAAGAATATTAAAACAGGCAAGTGCTCTCCGGACCCCATATAAGCAATAAAGAGCAAAGTGCCCAAGAACCTTGGGGGCACACCACAATGGGTCCTCTGGGTCACGGAGGTATGGTTGGCCCTGCATCCAGGATTACTTCACGTCTCACTAGGTCTGAAGCTATCATTAAGGTCCATCAACTGATGCCGGGGACCTGATGCATTCTGTATGCCCTTGCCGGGTGCTGGATTTGTCCAGGGAAAGAATGGAGCACAGACGAGCCAAACAGAAGGACCACTTGGGGATTTTGCACAGTCCTGATGGACAAGAGGAAGAACTTGGGGAAGATGACAGAGAATGTGGCCAGACGCTCTGTCTTGTGACGACCTTTCAGGGAGTGAGACAGGAGCCAAAGCAAAGAAATACTAGAGGGGGGAGGGGCCCGAGCTCCTGGAACCTTTAGTCCCTGAGCTCCAAGCTTCAGGACCCGGGAACTGCAGAGCCATAGGCCATGCTCTTCAAGGACCATCTGGATCTGCTTGTCCTGGCATACACCCTGTAATTCACCCAGTCCTCCAGCATCCTTCCAGCCCATCCGTTCATGGAAGAAGATATGCTGGGATTTGAGTCTTGATGGATGCCTTGCCTCTCTGGTCCTCGAAGATCTTGGGACTGAGGTAGACACAATACAGGCAGTGGAAAGGAGAGAAGCTCAGTTGCTTGCAGTTGACTCCCATCATCCTCTTCTCCTGAAGAGCAGCCAACAAGCACACAATCCTACTCACGAGGAAAAGGAACCCAGATACTTCCGGGTGGTGATGTCACAGGTCCCGGACATTCCAGGTATCCAGGAGACCAAGGCTGGGGAAGCTGAAGACCTTCCAGGGACGGGCCTCCTCCTTCTGCTGGAGGGACCATGGCAACGAACGGAGGAGCGGGGACCTTCTTATCTGTCTTCCTGCTGTGCTGCTGGCCAGATGTGCAGCCCTGGCCGATTAGAGAGTTTTCAGGTAGAGTCCCCAGGAGACTGGCAGATAGAAAACCATAGGCATGAACCAGGCAGGTAATGTGTGTTTCTCTGCTATTGTTTGATGGGGTCCCCTTCTAAATTCCAGGTGTTGAAATGATGACAGTAGGTGCTAGCTGGGATCTTCATGGTAACTGGGCCATGAGGGCCCTCCCTAGGGACCTGATTAAGGCCTCTGTCAAAAAGGTCTTTGTAGCACTTTACTGGTTTGCCTGGCCACTTCCTGCCAGGATCATGCAGCAGTGAGCATTGTTCTGGAGCCAGGAGCAACCCTCCATAGACATCACACCTGCCTGAGTGTGGGGAATACATTTATGTTCTTTGTAACGACAGGGCCTCAGGTCTTTTGTTATACCAGCAGGAATGGACTAAGGTATTCTCCTTCCTGCCTATGCAAATTTACCATTGAACCAATTCCAGTTTCTGTCTTGAAGTCCTTTGGAATCCTGCAAGTCTATGGAAGAGTTGTTCTATCCCATGTTTTAATTTTAATTAACCTGCAGAAATATTCTAACTTACCTAAAAGGAAAGGGAGGATGACAGGAACCTCAGGATGGGTTGATGTTCTTGAATTTAAATGACTGTGAACATTTGGCTAGTTTATTCTAGCTTGTTCTTTGATACTTTAAAAAAAAATGGCACCCACATCCATGCATCCATGTGTGCATACATGTGCACAAGAGACTAGAGGGTGACACTGAGTGTCTTCTATTGATCTCCACTATATTTTCAAGACAGGGTGTCTCACTGAACTCAGAGCTCAGTGATTGGTTAAACTATCTGGGCAGCTACCTCTGGGCATCCACCTGTCGCTGTCTTCCCCGGCCATCCCCGGTTAGCTCTGTGTGCCTCCTACTTGAGTGTAAGGATATTTACTCTCAGTTACTACTCCAGCGCCATGACTGCTGCTGTGCCCCCAACATAATGATCACGGACTCTTAACCATTTGGAACTGTGAGCCCCAAATTAAACGCTTCCTTTTATAAGTTGCCTTGGTCATGGTGTTTTGTCACGGCTTTAGAAAGGTAACTAAGACAGCAGGGTAGAAAGACATGGGAAGGGACGTGCTTGTCACATAGTACATACTTCTATGAAAATGTGGATACATGGCCTGGGCTTTTTAAACCACAGAGCCCACCCCCAGTGACACACCTCCAACAAGGCCACACCTCCCAATCCTTCCCAAACAGTTCCACCCACTGGGGACCAAGTGTTCAAACACATGAGCCTGTGGGGCCATTCTTGTTCAAACCACACCTGCCTTCCTTTCAGCCCCCTTCATTCCTCCAGAGAGTTTTGCCTTACCTTCATATTATATACACATACAGGACATTCACCTATCAGAAGCTGGATTAATTTCCTTAACGTGGCCATCTCCACTTGCATCTCTCTCCTGCAAATGGCATAACTTCGCTGTTCACTGTGGCTGAAGAAGATTCAATCACGTTCAGACAGCACATTTTTATTATCCATCCCTCTGTTGTTAGGAGCCTGACTTGGTTCCATAACTTGGCTACCGTAAACTGGGTTGCAATAAACGTCAGTGTTGAAACAGCTCCATGATGTGTTGAAGTCCTCCGCATAAACATCCAGGAGCTGGCTCATGGTGCCACTTCCTTTAGTTTTTCTGAGGAACCTCCATACTGGATTCCATAGTAGGTAGACTAGTTTCCACTCCCCCCAGCAGTGAGCACGTCCCCTGCTGTCCCACTAGACTTCCTGTTTTCTTAACGGATGCCATTGACTGGAGTCTCAGTGCAGTTTTAATTTGCATCAGTCTCTGTAGTAGAATATTATTTTATTTGCTTATGTTGCATTTGTTTAACTCTGTGAAGCTGGGTTACTGTGCCTGTGTAAAACACCCAATGGTCTAATCAAGATCTGGATGGCCAATAGCAAGGCAAGAGAAAGGATAGGCAGGGCCAGCAGGCAGAGAGAATAAATAGAAGGGGAAACTTGAGAGGAGAGATCCAGGAGCCAGAGAAGGAGGAGGACATCAGGGGCCAGCCACCCAGCTACACAGCCAGCCATGGAGTAAGAGTAAGAGAACGGGAAAAGCCCAGAGGCAAAAGATAGATGGGGTAATGTAAGTTAAGAAAAGCTGGCTAGGCGGTGGTGGCGCATGCCTTTAATCCCAGCACTCGGGAGGCAGAGCCAGGTGGATCTTTGTGAGTTCAAAGCCAGCCTGGGCTACAGAGTGAGATCCAGGACAGGCTCCAAAGCTACAGAGAGAAACCCTGTCTCAGGGGGAAAAAAAAAAAAAGAAAGAAAGAAAGAAAGAAAGAAAGAAAGAAAGAAAGAAAGAAAGAAAGAAAGAAAGAAAGAAAAAGAAAGAAAGAAAGAAAAGAAAAGAAAAAAAGAACCTTTCCTCAGCTGCCACCAAGGTGCTCGGTTCTTCTGAGGAAGCTAAGGTGGTGTTGGGGTGAGGCCCTCACTTTATCCGGCGACTAGCACCGTGCCGGCAGTCCGCAGCAACATGGCCTCCGTGTCCAAGCTCGCCTGCATCTACTCCACCCTCATCCTGCACGACGACGAGGTGACGGTCACGGAGGACAAGATCAATGCCCTCACTAAAGCTGCTGGTGTCAATGTTGAACCTTCCTGGCCTGGCCTGTTTGCAAAGGCCCTGGCCAATGTCAACATTGGGAGCCTCATCTGCAATGTAGGGGCTGGTGGGCCTGCTCCAGCAGCTGGAGCCACGCCAGCGGGCGGTCCTGCCCCCTCGACTGCCGCTGCCCCAGCTGAGAAGAAAGTGGAAGCAAAGAAGGAAGAATCTGAAGAGTCTGATGACAACATGGGCTTTGGTCTTTTTGACTAAAACTCTTTTGTTAACATACCCAATAAAAGGATGAACCCGTAAAAAAGAAAAAAAGAATCAGAGCTTCTTTTTAACACCCACTTCGGTCACAATTTTGAGCTTGCTACACTCCTTTTCTTGCCAAATTCCACCGTTTTTTATCTTTTAAAAGACTGGTGTTTTGCCTGCATGTATGTCTGTGAAAGTGTTGGATCCCCTAGAACAGGAGTCACAGACAGTTGTGAGCTGCCATGTGGGTGCTGGGAACAGAACCTGGGTCCTCTGGAAGAACAGTCAGTGCTCTTAACTGCTGAGCCATCTCTCCCCCCCCCCTTTTTTTTTAATCTTTCTGCTCAGCTTTTTGAATACTTTCACAGGACAAACATACATACATACACACCTATAAATATATGTGTGTGTATGTATGCATACTCTATATATCTATATCTATATGTAGATATAGATACACACACACACACTAAATAAATACATTTAAGGTTTGGTAGAATTCAGCAGCAAATCAACCCTGGCTGGGGGTTTTCCTAATTGGGAATTTTTACTGTTATTATCACTTCTTTGATCTCATTGCTTTTTTCCACTCTTTCTCTGACTTTCTGAATTTCATTGTTATCTGTTACAATGCCTGCTTTTTAATCCCTACTTTTATGTACTTTAGTAAATTTGGCTAAGAGTTTACTAATCTTACTTTTCAAAGAGCTAACTCTTTGGTTTATATTATTTCTTCATTTCTATTTCTTTAATTTCTTCTACTTTGATCTTGATTTTTTTTTTTTTTTTTTTTTTTTTTTTTTTTTTTTTTTTTTTTTTTTGCCTGCTGATTTTGGATCTGGCTTGTTCCTGTTTTTCCAATGCCTGCAGCTCATCACTGAATTATTTATTTGAGCTCTAATTTTTTTAACGTAGGCAACTACATAAAGTCCCTTCTTTTTAAAATAAAATAACATGCGTTATTATTAGTGTGTATGTGCATGCACATGCCACAGTTTGTGTACAGAGGTTAGAGGATAGCTTGCCAGGATCCAGTTCTCTCCTCTCATCCTATGAATCCCAGGGGTCGAACTCAGGTCATCAGGTTTAGCAGCAAGTGTCTTTACCTACACAGCCATCTAACTGGCCGCAATGTTTCCTCTTGGAACTGCTTCTGTTATAGCCCACAGGTTCTGTAGATTCTTACTCACACTTGACTCTAGGGTTTATTATCCCTTCTGGATTTTGATGATCCAGTCATCATCCAGTCGGGTGCTGCTCACTCTTTAAGGATGTATACATGACCTGTAATTTCTCTTACTGTTGTTGGTTTCTAGATTTATTTCATTGTCAGAGAGAATACAACAAATATGACTTCCTTTGTAGTCTATTGTATGATCTATTTTAGAGAAAGATCCATGAGCTGCTGAGAAGTACGTGTACTCTGCTGTGTTTGGGTGGAATGTTCTGAAGAGATCAGCTGAATCCATTCGATCTGTTTACTTCAGCTACCTATTTTTTATTACCAAATGACCTAAGTAGCATCCAGTGAAAGCAGGGTACTGATGTCACTCACCCATGAATGACATCACTGTATTGTGCTGGGGTTAATCTGTGTGTGTCTTTACATCTACCAGCACTGTTCTATGAAACTGGATGGCCCTGTGGTCAGTGTTCATGTGTTTAAATTGTAATGTTCTCTTGATACACTGATTCCTTTATCAGCATGAGGTAACTGATGGCTCTTCTAATATTGAACTCTTCTAATATTTTTGTCAGATATTAGATTCTAATGTTAATAATTAGATCTTCTAATAATTGTATCTTCTAATAATTAAATATTCTAATAATTAGGAGGCACAAACCTGCTTGTTTCCTAGCTCCAGTTGCTTGGAATACCTTTTTTTATCCTTTCATATTAAGGTTGTTTCTGTCTTTGATAGACGTGCTTCTTGGAGGCAATACCTAAGATGAATCCTGCTTTTAATCCAAACTGCTAATCTGTGTCTTTCAATTGGAGAATGGAGACCATTCCTATCCAGTCATTACTGGAGGTGTTGTGATGGTTACTACCATTGATGGTCAAACTGATAGGCTCTGGAGTCACCTAGGAGACAAGGGCCTGGGCTGTTACTGAGAGCACAGCGCTGATTTCTGAGACTCTGTCTTACACCGTGGCTCAGGTCACTTGCACTGGGAAGGGAGAGATCCCAGAGTTCATCAGTCCCTCCGGCCAACAAACTTTGCTCCC